ATCTGAACTTCTCAACCATCCACAATGGTGGGGAGGACCTGAGTTCTTATATGATGAACACACCAGCTGGCCCAAAACCCATTCCATACCTGCCGAAAACACAAGCCAACCAGAGTCCCGACTCACGGTCGCATTAACAGCAACAAAGACAGACGACATTTTCGACCGTCTGTTCGAATGGTATTCATCGTTAACCAAGATCGTGAGAATAATTGGATACTGTTTTAGATTAAAGCAACACTATCAAGCAACAACAACTTTAAACCCTACGGAACAACATAAGGCTCTAGATGCCATCATCAAAGCAGTCCAGTGGTCCGCATTTAACGACGACATACGCCTACTGACAGCAAATAAGCCATGTAGCACTCAACTACGGAGACTAAGCCCATTTCTGGATGCATCTGGTATTCTTCGAGTTGGTGGACGAATTCAACATGCATCAATCCCGTATGAACAAAAACATCCTGCCTTGGTTCCGAAGAGGCATCCATTTACGTCAATACTGATTCACCACTACCACAAGGAAAACTGCCATCCAGGCTCAACCACATTGCAACGACTCATTCAACAACGGTTCTGGATAATCTCAGCACGTCAAGTTATTAGGTCCCATCTTCGTTTATGCATTCCATGCTATCGTGTGCGTCCAAAGCACATCCAACCGACAATGGGAAACCTCCCAGTTTGTCGTCTACAGCAGATTAAACCATTCCACGCAACTGGAGTAGACTATGCAGGCCCTATACCCTTAAAGGAAAGAAGAACACGAAACGCACCGGTCAGTCATGCTTATATCTGTCTGTTTGTGTGCATGAGTACGAAAGCACTTCATCTCGAAGTCGCGTCCACTTTATCGACCGAAACCTTCCTTATGGCATTCACCCGTTTCGCTGCTCGCCGAGGACCCATCCAGGCAATATATAGTGATTGTGGTACCAACTTTGTGGGAGCATCTCGACTGTTCAAATCAGTTCCTGAGTACCAAAACGCTATAACCAATCATCTCTCTACACAGCAAATTCAATAGCACTTCAATCCACCATCAGCCCCTCACTTTGGAGGTTTATGGGAAGCAGGTGTCAAGTCCGTAAAACAATTATTGTACCGATCCATAGGTAACCACCGACTGACCAGCGAAGAACTAAGTACCTGTCTAACGCGCATCGAAGCAACTCTAAATTCCAGACCGTTGAGTGCGATGAGCAACGATCCCGCTGATTTCAACGCACTAACGCCAAACCATTTCCTGACCCTCGAACCCAGCACGACTATTCCAGATCCAGATTTGTCAACCCTTCCAATATCTAAGATGCAGCGATGGCGGCTCCTCCGAGATATTCATCAACATTTCTGGAGTCAGTGGAAAAGTGACTTTATCAATACTTTGCAACAACGCGTGAAATGGACAAAGGACAATGGAGCTTTGCATCAAGATGATCTAGTTCTCATTAAGGAACCAACCAGCTCCCTTCAATGGAGACTTGGCCGCATCGTTCAACTTCACCCAGGTAACGACGGTATCAACCGTGTTGCCACCGTCAAAACAACCTCGGGAACTTTCAAACGTCCTGCCATCAAGCTCTGTTCACTTCCACAGAATTAAAGGCGGAAGCCTTTAAGGTGGGCAGTATGTTTCCATGAATATATATAAATTATTAATTATCTCCATTATTTAATATATAGATATTATTATATCCATTATTTAAATTTATCATTATCTGTACAACCCAAATATTTATCAACCTCATTAAAATTGTTAATAATTATCCATCTTATCTTTGTCCAGCTTTGTACATCGTTCGACCGGTCGTAACGACTGCTTTATCCATCGCCTGCGAGTACGCCGTTGCCACCTCGCGATGGGTATAAAAGGGCAAAGCACAGGTCGAACCGATACCATTCAATGCCTTTTCGGCGCCGCAGCAAGACCTACCCAGGCAGACTTGCACGGCTCGAAAGGCAGTCTCCCTCCCGGACTCAACGTGCGGTATATATCCAATCCATGGTGTAATAGTCAGAGTTATTCCGGCATTGTATCCGATTGATATATAAAAGACCTCCATAATACAATAGTCGAAGTAATTCTGGCATTGTATTGTCTATACCACACGCTTGAGTCCCATTAAGTTATTAGTAAAACCATACCGTTTTTTTTTTTTTTTTTTTTTTTTTCCGAATAACTTTTCAATCAATAAAAAGGTACTTTTTTTCCGATATCAACCGTGTCTTTTAGTTATTTCAACCCAAACCATAAAACCAATCGTTCTACGAACCTCAGGTGTCAACACATACTAACGGCATAAAAAGAAAAAGCACTCCTAACCACATTGGATACAACAACATTTTCCGAAATCAATTTATAATCCCAACCAGCATAACCAGGAAACAAATACCTTCCATACACAAAACCTTCACCCACATGTGCACAAAGTTTAAAATCCACTCATCTGTTAAAATAAAATAACATTCCCAAAATTTCCACCTTGGCTTTGGAAAACCCACATAAATACCAAATTAACCAAGTATAATAAGCATGAAACAAATTTGATAATTATCACGTCCCACTTCAAAGAAATCATCCAGAATAAATACTCCAATTTTTCGCAAATTTACACCGACGCATCTAAATCTCATCACGGAACTGGTTTTGCAATCATCAAAGAAGAAACCGAAATTCTATATTAGCTTCCTCCGGAGAGCAGAATTTTTACAGCAGAAAACTATGCCATCTTAGAAGCTATCAAATCAACAAACCTAACACCCTCTAATAACAATATTTTAATTGTAAGTGACTCTTTTAGTGCTCTCCTAGCTCTCCTAAACCCCTTCTCGACAAATGAAATAACCTAGAATATCCAACCAAACTATATTCAACAAAAAAAAAAAAATATAGAATTATGTGGGTTCCCTCACACACCGGCATTGCCGGTAACGAGATGGCCGATAAGTTAGTAGACAAAGCAGCTAAAACCATCTTACATCCAACAATCACTGACATACCGAATAACGACATAAATATTTCCATTAGAAACAAAATAAATATGACATGGCAAAGTAACTGAGATTCTGTTCCGCTTTCCAACAAATTAAAAAAAATCAAAAAATCCAGTCAAAAGTGGCACCATCTCCATAATTTAAACAGACGACAAGAAGTCACTCTAGCCAGAGTTAGAATTGGACATTCTTTTCTGACCCATTCTTTCTTAATCAGAAAAGATCCACCACCCATATGTAATCAATGGCAAGAAGACCTAACCATCCGACACATCATCCTAGACTGCTCAGACCTCCAAAACATTCTAAATACCTTATCGATACCCAACAATTTAGAAGAAGCTCTTCGTGAAGACAACACCATAAAAATCTTAAATTTCCTTACACAAATTAACATTGTAAACAATCTTTAACCAATATGTATTCTGTATTCATAGCCTAAGACTATTGTAACCTTTGAAATGTAATTATTAATGTAACTCACACAACGCAACATGTACACAAGACTAATAACCTCAGATGTTGAAGCCTTTTTTTTTTCTTTCTTTTTTTTCTTCCCATAAAAAAAAAAAAAAAATTGAAAATTTTGATGGTGTAAATAAACATTTAAATATTAAAATTCCTCCAATCGGAAGTACTCCTATGAACTATAGACTTAATTGTAATCATCCGATAGATTTTTCATTTGAAAACAGTTTAGCAAATGCAATTGGGTTTCAGAAAATAAAATACCAATATTTTCAAGGAGATCATTCATATCATAAATCAGATAAAATAATTTATAAAGCAAAAAATGTTAATTCTATAAAAGTCATGTGTAATATAATTAAAGATTTATTCGATAATGGTTAGCTATCACATTCAATATATGAATTTTTCCCTCGCAAAAAGACAGGAACTAAAATAATTGAATCACCAATTAATTTAAAATATTTTAAACTTAAGACAGCAGTCATTAAAAAAATAAAATTTGAATTAGTTGATCACGAAAACAATCCTATTATTTCTAAATGTGAAATAACAGTCATATTAGATATTATACCTTAAAACAGTGAAATGGATGAATCGATTACGGTAAGTATGTCAGGTGAAATCACATCTTTATTATCAACTTATTTTCCAGCAATAAATGTACACGAAAACTCAGAAATCGCACTATTATGTTTACATACATATACATAATATGTTTTCGAATGTGAATGAGACAAATAACAATTTTCGAATTATTATACGACAACGAAATTTAGATATTAAACTTTCTTTCGGCTGTTACGAGATTGAAGATATTACTCAATATATTTGTAACCAAATTCATGAAGATAATGAACGTATTAATACTATAGAAAGACACAACAAAATGTATAATGATCTTATAGATTTTACCATGAAAACTAATATCCAGGGACGAACTGGGATTAAAAATGTCACCGGAATTTAGAATTAGAGGGGCCACATCTATATACTTATCGATTGCATATAAAAAATTTTATTAAAATATTAAATAGAACTCATTTTTTACATTCTGCAGATTTTTAAAAATTATAACATACAACACATAACTTATTTGACAAATTATTCCTTATCACTTATTAGCTAATTTATTATAAAAGCATCTTAAAATTAAAACAAAAATCTTTTTTTTAAATGTTCACTAGTTATAGCTAAGTAATTAATAATTTCATCATTATTAAGTTTAGCTAATATATATTTTTCACACGACATGAGTATAAATGCTTCTAAATTAGTTTGGCTTAAAGAATTTCTCAATCAATTTAATATATACTTCAGAGTAGAAAAATTTCTTTCACGGGTTACTTGTGAAGAAGATAAACTTAAAATGAACTAAGTACAACTTATTATATGCTTTTGAATAAAGGTTATAAGTATGTAATATATTATGTACACATATCATACAGTTCTTACAGCTGCAAATACTTTTTAAAAAACCTTGTTCTTTTTTTTGAATCATCTTTTTTTTTTATTTATTTATTTAAACGCCATTTTTTCAGCAATTACAAAGATAATAGATTACAGTAGAGTGTTTTTTGTACAATGATTTGATATAATAATGTGTTTACAATAATTTAATGATGATAATTAGGAAAGAAGCGGAGTGAGTTTAGGTAATTATTAAAAGTTTGAACTGGAGATTTATTGATATTGGTTGTTAGAACGGAAGTTGAGTTAAGAGGAGTTGAGGAAGCGTAGAATTCTATGAATAGGGTAATTATGATTGTAATTTGTGAGGTGTGTTGGTATAAAGAATAAGGAGTGTGAGCGGGTTGGATAAAGAGGGACACGAAACTAATAGTTGACAAAAGATCAGAAAGACGAGAAACAAGGGAAGGAACATTTAGAGTTGAGCTAATAGAAGTGTAATCATGTTGAGGATGAGGTATTTTTAGTAAGAAAGCAACATATGCTAAAAAACGATTTTGGACTCTATCAAGTCGGAGTTGGTTTTTGGCCAGATATTGATACCACACAACAATTCCGTACTCAAGGATGGATCGAACCAACGTGAAGTAAAGAACACGAAGACAAGGTATAGATGTAAAATTAGTTGTGTTGCGTTTTATAAAGCCTAATACTTTCAGTGCTTTACCAATGGTAATTTTTATATAGTTCTGAAAGGAGAGAGAAGGAGTTAGATGGAACCCAAGATCTTTAACAGCAAAACACGTTCTAACATAGTGTCACTCAAGAGATAGGAGTGGAAGATAGGCTGACGTTTCCTACTAAATGTCATGATATGACACTTGTTAATATTGAGTGTCAGTCCTACAGCTTGAGTCCATGTATTGAAGGAGTTTAGATGTGACTGCGATTTAAGGCAGTCAGAAAGAGAGGAGATTTTAAGAAATATCTTGATATCATCTGCGAATAATAAGACTTAAGTGAAAGGGAGGAAAGTCTTTACCGAATTTATAAAGAGAATGAAGAGGAGTGGACTGAGATGACCTCCTTGTGGTACTCCTGAAGGAATGTGAGTCAGTTCGGAGGGAGTACCATGAACTTTAACAAATTGCCTTCTGTTACTCAGATACGATTGAAGCCATGATAATAAAGGATTGCCGATTCCAAGTTTTTTGAGCTGATAAATTAGTCGAGCACGATCAACAGTGTCAAAGGCTTTTCTGGGGCCTGTGAACACAACATTCACTTGGCAACCCTGTTCAAAGCTATCAAAGATGTAGGTCATAAAAACAAGGCTACTAGTGACAGTTTATTTACCCTGTCGAAAGCCATGTTGGTCATCAATTATGATATGGTTTAAATTACTTTTAGTACAATGATATACAATTGATTCGAAAAGTTTGGCAATATGAGGAAGAATAGAAATAGTTCTATAGTTGGAAACAAGGGAAGGATCACCTGACTTAAAAACAGGTGTAACTGAGGAAGTTTTCCATATGTCAGGGAAGACACCCTCATCTAAAGAATGTCTAAAGAGATTAAATAGGTGGAAAACTATAGACTCACGGTATTTATAAAGTAGTCTTGCAGAAATTCCATCTGGGCCATTTGAAAAGTTGTTTTTTAAGTTGGACAAAGCGGTATACATATCATCAATATTAAAGTAGCAATTAGAAGGAAGAGCATAAGAGTATGTATTATAAATGGATACATGAGTGGAAGGAGGAGGAAGGGAGTTATAAACAGAAGAAAAATACTTTGAGAAAAGGGCTGCAGAATCTAGCGGTGTATATGCAGATTCACTGTTTAGGTGAACAGTGCACGGTATAGAAGCTGAGAAGTTAAGTGTTCTCTAAAAAATTTCCAAAAGATGGCTGGTTTGTGAAGGAGCATTTCTTCAGTGTTTTTGATGTAGGTTTGATAATCAATCTTTGACAAACGTTTGCATTTAGCTCTAAGTTCAGAAAAGGCATTAAAATCTATACGTAACTTTGTGCGTTTAAAGGTGGTATAAGCACGTTTCTTTTCCGAAATAAGGTTTTTAAGAGTATTAAAAGTATTATCTGAATCATTATCACTTTTCTAAAAAAAAGTTATTCACAAAGGTATAATACATATTTGTCAAGTCAATAAATTAATTATATAGTTATATAAAAATGTTGTGCCTTTTTTAAATATTCATCATTTAATGATAATTTTAAGGTATCCCACTTCTGCGCAAAATCTTTCAGTTGAGAACATAATTCTAATGACGTCAGGAATGGGTTAAATTTTTCCAAGTAACTTGATAAACGCTCTAATGGTTCTGCGCTTAAATATTGAACTTCTTCAAATCTAGAAGGGTGTAAACATGCTAAATCGGCCATATATTTTTAAGAAATGTTAAAACGTTTTTCCAAATTAGAAATATCTATGTCGAATACTACGTTATAAACTTCAATTTCAAATTTGTTTTTTGAACTATTATTAAATAGTAATTGTTGTCCGATTTCTCTATCCAGCTGTTTTACTTCTCTTAACCTAGTCACTGGAAAATCATCTTCTACACGAATTTGCGAATTTTTATTTTCCAATTTTTTATTCACACATTTAATAAATTCATTAGTTACTTCGTAAGTACTTTGATAGTCACGTGCAAATTTTTTAGATTTTCATTAGTTTTTAAACAAATAATTGTCCTTTTAAAAACTTAGTAGTTAATAGGCAACCGATAAATTTACAGGCATGGTGGTAGTAATATTAATACATATTTTACAGTTGATTTAAAAGTAAAATTAAGAGAAAAAGAATATATTCAAAATTTTGTAATTGTTGATAATCATTGCTAAAGATATTGCTTAAGTGTTCGATCCCTTATATCTTATGCAGCGATTGTGGACTTCAGGCGTTTCTTGGGATGAACCTATTCCAACTGATATTGGTGTGGCATGGTCTCGATTTCAATCTGAATTGCATTTAATCGAAAATATTTCTATTCCTCGTCGACTTACCCATGACAACATTGTCTGTGTCCAACTACATGCATTTTCTGATAGCTCAGAAAGAGGGTATGCTGCAGCGATTTATCTTCGTATCGAAACTGTCAATTTAATACATTGTCAACTCATAACGGGCAAATCAAAGGTTGCACCGCTGAAACGTTCCACAATTCCACGCCTTGAGCTTTGCGGATCTGTTCTTACTGCAAGACTTTTACACTTAGTTGTAAAAACATCTATACGGATCGATTAGAGGTGGATGAGATACACGCGTGGACAGATTCGACCACGGCGTTAACATGGATTCGTTCGTCACCTCATCGTTGGGCCACCTTTGTCGCCAATCGGACGAGCCAGATCCAAGACTTAAACCTACCTTCAATTTGGCGTCACGTTCCTACTCAGGAGAACCCAGTAGACTGCGCTTCTTGTGGCTTGTTTCCTTCAGACCTTGTTAAACATCCACTATGGTGGAACGTTCTTTCGTTTTTAAGGCTACCATCTAAACACTGGCCACTTGCTCCTATTGCTCAGCAAGAAGTTGACGATTGTATTCATTCAGAAGAAAAAAAACCTGTTGTACTTCTTGTTGCTATAAAATTATCAATATTAAATTTACTCGATCGTTTTTCTTCTCTCATCAAAATTTGTCGTATTGTATCTTCTTGTCTTCGATTCACCCAATCACGCTCATTAGTTGCACAAACACAAATCATCAACGCTGAAGAGATTTCTCGTGCACTTTGTGCACTTGTGTATTGTGTCCAACTGAGTTCCTTTTCCGATGAGATAGCACTACTCCAGAAGGGTTTATCCTGTTCCAAGTCTATTCGTCAACTAGATCCATTCATTGACGAGAATGGTATTGTCAGAGTGGGCGGTAGACTTGATAACGCTGACATTCCATATGCTCATAAGCACCCAATGTTGTTGCCTTCAAGACATCGTTTGACAGACTTGATTATTGACCATCATCATTTGCGTTTGAAACATCCAGGTTTAAATACACTTCAAGCCAATTTAAAACAAGAGTTTTGGATACTATCGTTTCGAAAAGCCATTCATTCTCGCTTACGGCAATGCGTTCCATATTTTCGTACACGACCAAAGAGCGTACAACCGAAAATGGCAAGTCTTCCAACCTATCGTGTACAATAAATCAAACCCTTTTCCAGTTCTGACGTTGATTATGCAGGTCCTATACTGTTAAAAGGTCCTCGAGAACGTTCAAATGCTGGTACAATGGCTTATATCTGCTTATTCGTTTGTACTGCGACGAAGGCTTACCATTTGGAATTAAGTTTAACTCTGTCCACTGAAACTTTTCTTCTAGCGTTTACTCGTTTTGTAGCACGCCGAGATCCGATCAAGGAAATTCACAGCGATTGTGGGACAAATTTTGTCGGTGCGTCAAAATTATTAAAGCCATTGGAAGAGTTAATTCATTCGTCATCTTTTCAACAACGCGTTCAAACACATTTAGCTGCCAGTCAAATTAGTTGGCATTTCAATCCGCCATCGTCACCTCATTTTGGAGGATTATGGGAGGCCGGAGTGAAGTCTGATTAATTGATTCTTCGAACAATAGGCAGTCATCGTTTGACGTTTGAAGAAATGGCTACTTTGTTGACCCAAATTGAGGCAACTTTAAACTCACGTCCTTTATGCCCATTGAGTGACGATCCCACTGATTTCGAAGCTCTTACACCAAGTCACTTCCTCACCCAAGAGCCATCGACTTCACTTCCCGAACCGAAACTGGAAAATGTACCTTTGTCCAAATTGCAACGCTGGCGACTGACAACAGATATTCATCGACATTTCTGGGTGAGATGGAAAAACGAATATCTATCGACATTGCAAAGTCGCTCAAAATGGTTTACCACACAGGACAATTTGGAAAAAGGTGCACTGGTATTGATAAGAGAAGCCTCACACCCTTTACAGTAGAAACTTGGCAGGATCCGCACTCTACATCCTGGATCAGATGGAGTCGTTCGTGTTGCAACTGTAGACACCATGGCTGGCAGTCTAACCCGTCCAGCAGTCAAATTATGTCCATTACCAACGTCTTGAAGGAGTCCCTTCAAAGTGGGCGGTGATGTTCGCTCCAATATGCGTGATCTTATTATTATCATTATTATTATTCTAATTAGCGCGGTGGCGACTCACTCTCCTTATCTGTTTCCCTCTTCCGGCTCCCCAACTGTATATGTGAATTTTAATTACCTGTTTATATTCTTCTTCTTATTATTATTCGTATGTTAGTTTGAAAATTGTAATCTGTCTTTTTTCTATTTATTTTTGTTCTTCGGCCAACGCCCTTTTCTTTGGTCTTTTTCTTTGTCTTCGTTGTTCGTTCGTCGGTTGCGATTGTTGCACCACATTTTTATTGAAAAAATACCTTTTGTTGTTCGTCGTTAGCTAAACGTTATTATTTTTTCTATTTTTTCGATATTGCCATTGTGGCATACTTATAATTATTATAATTCGGAGCCCGCTAGTGAAACGGCACGTGTGTTATTATTCTTTTTATTATAATTAGTATTCTGTGATTATTATTGAAAATAAAAAAGCATCTGTCAGTTACCAGCAATAAAGATTTCCACTACCAATTCAGCGTTTTGTGAGTTTTATTTTATTCAAATATTGTTCTGTGTCACCATCCTTGTTGTGTCAGTACATTCGTCGTCGTTTGGTTCATTGTAAGTACTCTGGGCAACTACGTTTGACTTGTTGCCATACGTAAATCCGCCAGCACCCGGTGTGGTGTGTGTGAGGCCGTCCAGATCGTCAAGTACTTCTAGTCAACATCGTCACCAGTTCACCATAGTTACCTGTCGTAATTTTAAGTAGTCTGTAAGTTGTGTCCTGAATGTTTAGCTGTTAATTATTGTCCGATTTTTTGTGAGCTCGGTGGTCATTGCACCAGACCGATTCGACCACAGAGACCTCCCCC